CAGAGGCTTGCCTGGCAGTGGACTGAGACTGGCAGGCAGGGGCATGGTTCCCTGACTCCAACTGGTCTGGCAAGCAGAGGCTAGCTGGATGTGGACTGAGATCAATGGGTGGGGGTGTGACCCCTGGCTCCAGCTGGGTCTGTAAGCAGAGAAGCAGACAACAGTGTGGACTGAGTCTGGCAGGCAGGAGTGTGGATCTCTGGCTCTAATTGTGCTGTTGGAGACCCTTGAATCCCTCTTTGTTGGGCAGGGTTTGCATTACCTGAGACAATTTGGTCAAAACCCGTGTCTTGGGCTGTCCATTCAGTGACATCCTGAGGTTGACCTTCAAAGTGCTGTAGCAGATAAGAACTGAAGGGTGGGAGCTGGGCACTGTAGCTGTTTATATCTCTTCACTGTTGAGATTTAAACCTAATACTGTAGTTTCTTAAGTTAGGGTAGAAGTTGGCTGATATCAAAACAGAGCTAACTTGCATGATCTCACCAAGTAGGTCCTCAAGTCTCCAGTTAAAACTCTGAAAGGGGCCTTCATAAGGTTGTAGGAGATAAGCCACAATTACAAAGCCTAGTGCTTTGGTAAGGGACTATATCTACTACCTGGGAACCCCAATTTAATCTCACCCTGCAAGATCTAATAAGCAAACAGTGGAAAACAAACATGGTGCAGACCCAACAGAAGAATTCTAGCAACATGAATAACCAGAGTAGATCAACCCCTCCCAAGAACTGACAAAGGAGATATAACTGAAGATGCCATGCAAATGATTCTAAATTCAGAAATTGAATTTAGAATATGGATTGGAAATAAGATATATAGAATGAAAGAAAAGATGGAAATTGAATTCCAAAGAGTAGTTCTAAAGTTGTCTCAAGAAATTAATGAATTCAAAGCCCAAGTCACCAAAGATACGGACATAATGAAAAAAGAGACAGCAGAGCTCAAGGAAACAAAAAAATTAGTTGAGAACCTCCAAAATACAGTAGAATCCCTCAGTAATAGAGTTGACCAGGCAGAAGAAAGGATCTCTGAAAGCAAAGACAAAGCTTTTGAACATTCCTAAACACTCAAAGAGGCAGACAAATGGAGAACCAAAACTAATCATTCCCTGAGAGAGCTGTGGGATCACTCCAAAAGATCAAACATTCATCTTATGGGAATTCCCAATGGTCCTAAAGGTAAAGATGCTCTACTCCAAGAGATTTTGGAGGAGAATTTCCCAGGCATTGCAAGAGATACAAAATGTCAGATAGCAGACAGTTTCAGAACCCCAGCAAGACTCAATCCAAATAAAGCATCTCCTAGACACATTGTGACTAACTTTGCTGAAGTTAAGACAAAGGAGAAAATCTGCAAGCAGCCAGACATAAGAAAAGCATTACCTACAAAGGGAGAAATGTCAGAATGACTGCAGATCTCTCAGCCAAAACATTTCAAGCCAGAAGAAAATGGTCATCAACCTTTAGTCTCCTAAAACAAAAGAACTTCCAGCCCAGGATCCTCTATCCAGCTAAACTGAGTTTCACTTGTGATGGAGAAATCAAATACTTTAATGACATAGACATGTTGAAGAAATTTGCTATAACTAAACCAGCTGTCCAAGATATTCTCAGACCCATCCTCCACAACAACCAGCACAATGCTCTACTTCCAAAGTAAACACACCCAGAAATTTTTGAACAAAACCCAACTTCCACAGTGGTGAAAAGACTAAAAATGTCCACTGGACATCTGAAAATCATGACAACCAAGCTTATCAATTATCTCAGTTAATGCAAATGATTTAAATTGTCCTCTAAAGAGGCACAGGCTGGCTGACTGGCTACAGAATCTCAGCTTCCCTTAAAGGATAAAAATAGTTTCAGGGTGAAGTGATGGACTTGTATAATACAGACAAATGGAAACCAGAAAAAAGAAGGGGTTGTAATGTTAATAGCAGATACAATTGGCTTTAAACCAACAAAGATAAAGAAAGATAAGGAAGGTCACTACATATTTGTCAAGGAAAACACCCAACATGAAGATATTTCAATAATGAACATTTATGCACCCTACCAGAATGCTCCTCAATTCATAAAGCAGACCCTAATGGATATGAACAACTTGATATCTTCCTGCACTTTAATAGTTGAAGATTTTAACATCCTTTGACAGTTTTAGATAGATCCTCCAAGAACAAAGTAAACAAAGCAATATTAGACTTAAACCTGACCCTAGAACAAATGGACTTTACAGACCTCTATAGAACATTTCACCCCAATAAAACTGAATATACATTCTTCTCATCAGCTCACAGGTCATCGTCCAAAATAGATGATCTCCTAGGACACAAGTCTGACCTCAGCAAATTTAAAAGTATAGAAATTATTCCTTGTATCTGCTTGGTCCACCATGGAATAAAAGTTGAACTCAACAGCAATGGAAATCTCCATACTCAAACAAAGTCATGGAAACTAAATAATCTTAGGCTGAATGATAGCTGAGTCAAAGATGAGATTAAGGGCTCGGCGCCTATAGCTCAACCAGCTAAGGCGCCAGCCATGTACACCTAAGGTGGCAGGTTCGAATCCCCAGCCCGGACCCGCCAAAACAACAATGATGGCTGCAACC